GTCTCTGGACATTTAGTTTTGCTTAATTTAACTGAGTTATATTTATTTGTTTAGGCTGTTTTATGAATCAAAATCATTTGTTTTGTTGCTGTGGATTTATAAGTATTTTTATCCATATGTCGCTTTTAAATCTCAAGTACGTGTTGTTGATTTTTTTTACTGATGTAATTGTTTTCAATTGCATCAAAGTTTCCTGTCATCACGTATCCCGTGTTGCAGCATCACAATTATATTTCTTGTTGCATAATAACCTTTATATTGTTGCATCAAAATAACTGGTGTTTTTCCAAGAGAATCGGATTTTTATGTCACAGAAACGAGTTTGTGTAATTTTACATACATAGCAAACTCATTTTAAAGATCAAACATTAACCGTGGCTTTTTAAATATYTTTCAAAGCGTGTTTATGCTGTTAAACAGGCAAAGCCATCAGTATTAGAGACACAGGTGGTTACCGGAAGGGTTTTGTGTAGAAAGAAATGTGTGTGTGGAAACGGCCACACTTTGTTTTAAATGTTGTTCTATCTTTGCTGACTGTGGGTGGTTTTGGCACATGATGGGTGGATAAACAAACCTCAGTCTGTCAGAGTTATTCCCCTGGATTGACTTTGTTTCATTGAACTTCTTGGCTTCGTCTTGAGTRATGGTTTTGTCATGTGGGCAGGCTAGGAAGAGGCAATCTTACTTTGATTTTTTTCAGCGAAAAAACAAATATGACAAATGAGGCTTTGTTTATCTGCTGTCACCTCAAATTTATGAATAAAGATTGTGAAAGTGACATTCAAAACGTGCAGAATGGATTATAAATCATAGAAATAAATAGTATAGAAAACATTTTATTTTTATGTAGAAGTCAGCATARCCTCCTGTTGTAATTTAGTATAAACTAATTATTTGATGTTTGAACAGAGAGGCTTTGAATGACCTCTGTCATCAATGGACTGAAATGTGAATTGTTTTGTAATAAAACATACTCTGCTGCCCTCAAGAGGAAGCTGGAATATTGAAAATTAACACAAATGTTACGATGATGTGTGTTTGGTACATTATTTCTTTGCTGTAACAATGCTTCCTAGTAATAAATCTTGTACCATTAGAGAACCGTACATTTTCCTTTGAAGTGGTGCCACATTTGTAAGGAACATGCATTTGTGGGATGAGCAGTAGAGCTGAGTGTGTGAGTTGGGCACATAAAAAATGCCAAATATTCTCTGTCACTGCCAAATAGCTTATTCTGCTGCTRCTATTGACTCTTGTTCTGAGCTTCTGGTACCCCCAGATGCTGCTAATCAGGTGCCTGGTATAAGATGTATTACCAAGAAACCTTGTTACAACAAAGAAAAAATATACTGAACACATTTTCTTACTTTTTGTGCTAGCAGCTTACGTCTGTGCAGCAGTTACTTCAGTCAAAATGCAAACATTTTGCATTTCACGTGTTTCTGGAATAAATGTATAATGATAATATATTTCTCTTTACATAAAAAAATACAGAAATCTGTAGGATTTAATAATGTATATCAAAATGCTTGAGTCTATAGTAATTATGTTATAAAGCTTGCAGAGACACATGGTCAAACATAAGCTTCCATTTCAGAAAAAAAATAACAAGATTAGAAGAGGACACAAAGTCAGAGAATAATTGATGAGAGGGTGTGGACGAAGTCAGGACAGGTGGGAAACAAGTGTCCGGTCAGTGTTTGAACTTAAATGAACAAGGGATCATGGAGCTGAATGAAAGAAATAAGCGGGGTCAAAAACAAGGAACAGACAACGAAAGCTTTGAAAATGAGGTAGGTGAGCTATGTTCATCATTTAGACTTCTTGAACTGGATTGCAAAGCAAAGCTGAGAATGACAGAAAACTTGTTGGTAAATCTTCACTCAGCTGATTTATGTTGATGCTCTAAACTTGTCAACTTCTACAACATTTGCTTTGCAATATAAATATAGTATTATGTGTTTCTAGAGGCAGATTTGAGCATTAAATAATTTGTTTTAGACTTCCACCAAACACTTTTTTACACAAAAGCACTAAATCCCCTCTTACAAATAACAAGTTTAAATTGTGAGCATCAGTAAAAAGTGCCATTGTGCRGAAACTTTTATCTTCCAGCCATAAGATTCCTTTTATATGTGTGTGATGAGAACAGGATCAGATTTACATTGAGATGAATCACATCTCTGAACCTCCAGATGACGCATCCAAAGAGGCAGAACCTCGCCACAAAAGGTCTGTGATTTTTCTTTTATTGCATTTTACCAAACAAATATTCTGTTATCGTGTGTGTCGCATCTTCGGTCGCCTTATTGTCACTGTGAGATAACGCTTATATTCTTTATCTGTTCCCCRCTTGTRAGCTCAGCCTGCYKGAGAAGAAGCTGGAGGCTCTCRGGAGCTGCTTGGCAGAGCACAAAGAGCRGATCCATCTGATTGTAAAGCTGGTTTTAGCAGCAGGTGATTGTGTTAATATTGGTTAAAGTGTAACTCAGAACTCTAAATAGTCTGCTTGTTCTCATTCAGAGYTAACAGTGTTTGCATATGCTGGAGTTTTGCAGTGGAATTTATTTGTTGAATTTGGACCTTGAAGGCTTTCAGACTGTAATTAAACTGATAGTTTTATAGGAGATAAACACCCTCAGCACTATGTAATTGGATTTATTTATTAGTTTTTAAATGCTTGTGCTCAGACTGATTACATTTAATAAATGTGGAGGGGAAATCTTAATTTCCTCTGGTAATGACTTTTAAAGAGAATTCACATGTTTRCAAGAGAYTTKGTTTATGATTATTTTTTATTTGATTGTTTTTGCTTTTRTGCTGCGTGATTTATCTAGTAGATCACTGAGTAAAACCACTTAATGCACTTTAAAGTTTTTTTTAATCTTTCAGTGTTTAATTGAAACTAAAAACATGTTTTCCAATAAAAGATGTAATATTTGGTCATTGCCTCAAAAATAAACGTCAAATGTTCATGTTATATTTTTAAGAAATATTCTTCTGTATCTACTTTTACTATTTCTAATTAAAATTTGACGCTAGAAATGCACACAAAAAAATGAACTCTGTGAATTTCATACAT